TTGTGGGGAACACGTATACCCTAGTTAATTCTCTCATCTTGATAAAAACCGAAATTAACTTTTGTTTATTGATTACTTACTGAATTCTTACAATTTGTTTCACAAATTCCCCACTTTATATTACTTGTTTTTGGAAGTACTTTGGCTAATTGAATATAATTGTTGGTTAAACGTAAAGTCTAAACCATTTTCCTTGTGGGATCGACCCCAACCTACAAATTGGGTTCTTTACTTGATAACGATCGCTTATACTTCTTTAGGGAGGTGTAATTTGAGCGTATCAATCTCCCAAGAGTTGTAGTGACCACTCTAATTCTAGAAAGCCTAAATATGACACCAAGCAGTCCCATGGGACTATCGAGCGGACGCCAAGGGCAAGATGATCGACACTGTCGTAGCTCAAAGGATGACCAGGTCGGGGAGGTGTTATGCCCTGGAGGATCTAAATCAAAGATCTCTTGGAAAAGAACAGAACCCAAAGAAGAATGTTACCGATGTTGAAGCCGCATAATTTTGAAAGAAGATGCAGCCTAAAGTCTATTCAGTCGAAGAGCAGCTGAAGAAAACGCCTGCCCACATATCTATTTTGTCTATGCTTATGAGTTCTGAAGCTCATAGGAATGATTTGATGGAAGTGTTAGACGTAGTGAATATTCCAAAAGAGACCACCAGTGAAACCTTAGCTTTAATGATTGGAAGAATAGTGGAAGCTAACAAGATTTCTTTCCATGATGATGAGTTGCCTGCAGAAGGGGCTGGGCACAACAAAGCGCTTCACATCGCAGTAAAGTGTTATGATAAGGTTGTGTCTCAAGTTCTAATTGATGGTGGTTCTGGATGCAATATCTATCCTTTCACAACTCTGAAGGATTTAGGTATTAATATGGGAGAGATAAAGGTAAGTCGTGTGAAAGTTAGAGCTTTTGATAGAGCGCAAAGAAGTGTCATTGGAGAGATCTATCTCACATTGCAGGTGGGGCCGGTTGAATTCCCCATCCTATTTCAAGTAATGGATCTATCATCCAACTACAACCTGTTGCTGGGAAGACCATGGGTTCACATGGCAAGAGCGGTTCCTTCCACTCTTCACTAATGTGTAAAGTTTAAGTGGGGTCGCACAGAAGTTACCATCCACGGAGAGCTTAGTCACCCCATCCTTTCTGTTAATTCTATCACAATCGCTGATGAGTTAGACGGAGCTACCTTTCACAGTTTGGAAATTATGCAAGCTATAAGGGTCGGTGAGAAACTAGAGGGAGGTAATACAAAATTGTCAAGTGTGGCGAAAATGCTTGCGTCAGAGATGTTGAAGTATGGATATCAGTCTAAGAATGGACTTTGACCTAAGTCCAATGGCATAGTTTAGCCGATCCAGCTAAAGCATCAGAGAGGCACCAACGGACTTGGATATGTGTCTGCCTCGGGAAGAGACCGTCACGGGTCAAGCGATACAATCTTTGTACTAGAACAAGCTGTGATTCCAGATCAAGCCGGTATTGATGACATCATGGAAGGAATAGGCAATTTGTTCGTGGCCATGGCTGGAGAAGAAGAAGGGATAAATCTCAACAAGTTGACCATTTGTGATGTTGAACCTGGAGAAATCTTGCAGAATTGGACCATCAGCCCGTCCCTGTTTCAACCAGAGTCCTGGTAGTGTGGAAAAGTAGTCTTAATTTTAAAATTCGCATGATCAAATTGAGGCTTGAATCATGCCTAATATTTTGTTGCTTGCCTCTTCTAAAAGCTAGAATGATTTGAAATAAAAAGTCTTTATTTTCTTTGAAAAATTTCTCGTTATTTTAAATATCTATTTATTTCTACTTACCTTTTGCAATTTTTAGTGCTTATATTAATAAAAATCCTCGTTCGATGGTTATGACATGTAACGAGTCCACCGAGCAAGGTGAAATTAATGAACAAGATCACGAAGAATATGATGAAAGCATGATGCCTAAAAATTTACCACATGAGATCGAGCAAGTTGAAAGTCAGAAAAAGCCGAATATGGATGAAACAGAGGTTGTCAACTTAGGAGATAAGGAAATCGTGAAGGAGACATGAGTCAGCATACATTTCGAGGCTCAAAGGAAGCAAGAGTTAATAGAGTTGCTTAAGCAATATGTTGACGTATTTGCTTGGTCTTATGATGACATGCCAGGATTAAGCACTAATATTGTCTTGCACAAATTACCGACTGATCCCACTTGTCTTCCCGTTAAGCAAAAAACAAGAAAATTCAAGCCAGATTTGAGTTTAAGGATCAAGGAGGGGGTAATTAAGCAAATTGAGGTGAACGTTGTGAGGGTTACAAATTACCCCACATGGTTAGCCAATATTGTGCCGGTGCCAAAAAAGGATGGAAAGATCAAAATATGTGTAGATTATCGAGATCTCAACAGGGCCAGTCCTAAGGATTATTTCCCTCTTCCAAATATTCATATACTCATCGATAATTGTGCAAAACATGAGTTGAAATCATTTGTCGATTGCTTTGCAGGATATCACCAAATCCTGATAGATGAAGATGATGCAGAGAAGATAACATTTATCACTCCATGGGGAGTGTATTGCTACAGAGTAATGCCTTTTGGTCTACAAAATGCCGGTGCAACCTACAGGAGGGCCATGACTACCCTTTTTCACGATATGATCCACAAGGAAATTGAAGTACGTAGATGACGTCGTTATCAAATCCAAAAGAAGTTTAGACCACCTGAATGACTTACAAAAGTTCTTTGAGAGGTTGAGTAAGTATAATCTGAAGTTGAATCTAGCAAAGTGTGCATTTGGAGTACCCGCGGGAAAACTATTGGGATTCATCGTTAGCAGGAAAGGCATAGAGTTGGATCCATCAAAGATAAAGGCAATCCAAGAGCGACCTTCACCCAAGACCAGGAAGGACGTGATGAGTTTCTTGGGAAGACTGGATTACATCAGTCGGTTCATAGCTCAATCCACAGTGATCTGTGAACCCATATTCAAGTTACTGAAGAAGGATGTTGCCACCAAATGGACCGAGGAATGCCAGAGGGCTTTCGGTAGAATCAAAGAATACTTGTCCAACCCACCAGTATTAGTCCCACCAGAGCCTAGAAAGCCTTTGTTATTGTATCTATCTGTCATGGATAATGCATTTGGATGTGTATTGGGGCAGCATGATGAGACGGGTAGAAGAGAGCAATCTATATACTATTTGAGCAAGAAGTTCACACCATACGAGGCAAGATACACCTTGTTGGAACGAACATGTTGTGCTTTGACTTGGATTGCACAAAAATTTAGGCATTACCTGTCTGCATACACCACGAACATGATCTCAAGAATGGATCCACTAAAGTACATCTTTCAGAAGCCCATGCCTACGGGTAAACTGACGAAGTGGAAAATTTTGTTAAGCGAGTTTGATATTGTGTATGTGACACCGAAGGCCATCAAGGGATAAGCCCTGCCTGATCACCTCGCAGAAAATCCGGTGGACCAGGATTACAAGCCACTCACGACCTACTTCCCTGATGAAGAGGTGTTGTTTGTAGGAGAGGATATATCAGAATCATATCATGGATGGAGAATGTTTTTTGATGGGGCATCAAACTCTATAGGAATTGGAATAAGAGCAGTCTTAATTTTGGAAACAGGTCAGTATTACCCAATCTCGGCGAAGATTAGGTTCTACTATACCAATAACATAGCAGAATATGAAGCTTGTATTCTCGGGCTCAGAATGGCCATAGACATGAATATCAAAGAACTCTTGGTGATAGGAGACTCCGACTTGCTGGTTCATCAAGTGCAAGGAGAATGGACCACTAAGAATGTCAAGATCCTTCCTTATTTGCATTACATAAATGAGTTGAGTAGGAGATTCACAAGGATTGAGTTCAAGCATGTCCCTCGAGCTCAAAATGAGTTTGTCGATGCTTTGGCAACATTGTCCTCGATGATTAAACACCCAGACAAGAATTACATCGACCCTATTGATATAGAGATACATCAACATGCATATTTTTTTCATGTAGATGAGGAACTGGATGGAAAACCATGGTACTATGACATCAGAAGATTGATAGAAGCACAAGAATATCCTGAAAACGCTACATGCAAGCAGAAATTGACTTTGAGGAGGATGGCCAATCATTTCTTCCTTAACGGAGAAATCTTATATAGGAGAACTTCAGATTTGGGATTGCTGAGGTGTGTCGACGCTACAGAAGTGACAAGGCTTTTGGAAGAAATACATGCAGGAACATGTGGACCTCACATGAACGGATTCACTTTAGCAGAGAAGATTTTAAGAGCTGGATATTTTTTGATGACCATGAAGAGAGATAGCATCCGGTAAGTGCAAAAGTGTCATCAGTGTCAGGTGCATGGAGATTTCATACGGGTTCCACCGAATGAGCTCAATGTGATGGGTTCCCCTTGGCTATTTGCAGCTTGGGGCATGGATGTTATTGGACCCATAGAGCCTCCCGCGTCAAATGGACATCGTTTCATCCTGGTGGCTATCGATTATTTCACAAAGTGGGTCGAAGCTTCGATATACAAGGCAGTGACAAAGAAGGTGGTAGCAGACTTTGTTCGCGACAATATAGTTTGTCGGTTTAGAATTCCAAAATCAATCATAACAGATAATGCGGCCAACCTCAACAGCGATCTTATGAAGGAAACTTGTGAAAGGTTCAAGATTACTCATCAAAATTCCACGGTTTACCATCCACAGATGAATGGAGTAGTTGAGGCTGCAAATAATAATATCAAGAAGCTTTTAAGGAAAATAGTGGACAGTCACAGGCAATGGCATGAAAAGCTACTATATGCTTTACTCGATTATCGCACCACAATCAGAACATTAACTGGGGCAACTCCTTATATGTTGGTTCATGGTTCGGAAGCAGTAATACCTGCAGAGGTGGAAATACCATCTTTAAGGATTATCCAAGAGGTTGGTCTAGACGATGTGGAATGGATAAGTAGCAGAAATGAACAGTTGATGATCATCGATGAAAAGAGGATGGACGCGGTTTGTCATGGACAACTCTATCAAAATAGAATGACCAAAGCGTTCAACAAGAAAGTCAAATCTCGACAGTTCACACCGAGGCAGTTAGTATTGAAGAAGATCTTTCCTCACCAAGAAGAAGCCAAAGGGAAATTTGCACCAAATTGGCAAGAACCCTGCATGGTTCATAAAGTACTCTCTAGAGGAGCAGTAATCTTAGCAGAAATGGATGGCAGAGTGAACACAAAGCCAATCAATTCAGACGCCATCAAGAAATACTACATCTGAAGACCTCAAGATTAGTGCTTATGTCTTGTACGTTTGCATTTTTGATGTAACAGAACTACGTCTAGACCTGACTTCCCACGGTGGGGTACGTAGGCAACCCACATCGGATCCGGTCTCCCTTAGAAAACCCAAAATCATCATTTTCATGTATTTAGAACTACGCTCGACTTGAATTCCCTCGGTGGGATACGTAGGCAATCCTTGTCGGATTCGGTCCCTTACATTTCATATTTTTCATTTTCTGTTTGTATCTTCACTACGTCCTGACCTAATTTCGCTTGGATACGTAGGCAGCCTGAGTCAGGCCCGGTCAATGCATTTCATATTTTTTACTCTCCCATGTTGTATTTGAACTACGTCCTGACCTGATTCCGCTTAGATAAGTAGGCAGCCTGAGTCAGGCCCGGTCAATGCATTTCATATTTTTTACTCTCCCATGTTGTATTTGAACTACGTCCTGACCTGATTCCGCTTAGATAAGTAGGCAGCCTGAGTCAGGCCCGGTCATTTCACCACAAGTTTCTTACTTTTCCTTCATATTTTTCAGTCTTCTATTGTAATCGAACTACGTTACGACCCGATTCCACTTGGATACGTAGGCAGCTTGAATCAAGCTCGGTCATTGCATTACATACTTCTATTTCTCCCACTTGTATTCGAACTACGTTACGACCCGATTCCACTTGGATACGTAGGCAGCCTGAGTCAGGCTCGATCAATGCACTGCATAATTTCCATTTTTTTCTTACCCTTAGGAAACATTTCCTCATAGTTAGCATAACCTCAGAATATGAAGAATCTCGATCGTCGCAGTGTCTGCAAAAGAGCTACACAAGCTTCAACATTAGGGTAAAAGCTACAAGAAGACTATGTTTGATATAGTCAACAAAATGGAAAGCTCGATGGATTTCGGAACATGTCATAATCTAAAAACACTGGAGCATTATATGATATATATACCTAATATATAAGTAATATACTTATTTTTTTTTTTTTTTTTTTTTTTTTTTTAAAAAGGGTTAATTCTTCTTAAAAGATTTTTCTACTCTTCCACCTACCAAGTCTCTAGGTTAAGAAACCACATATGGGCTAACAAGATGTCGAAGGATTCCAGTGACGAGGCTTCAGTCCGCAAGTCGATACAAATCAACACCTCCTCCCAAACTAAAATTTTCTTTGAGTGCCGGAATACAAGAATCAAGGAAAAATAATATAAAGTCTCGGGGCATGACTGGAAGCGCCACTCGACTTCTCACAATCATGAGTGAAACTATTATTTCCTTACTTTATTTCTTAGAAGAACTTCAACCTACATATTATGTCTAAGAATATTTTATTTAAATCTTTGCAGGTATGCTCGAGATCCAGATCAAATACTGAACAAAAGAGGATCTTTGTAGGAATATAGGATAGTTAGCTTTTTGTCAAGAGTACTTCACCAACTGGAGCTTGTAATGTAACCTCATCAATAACTCCTCCGATCGGAGGCTGTACATAGCAAACATCGTCAAACTCCGCCAATCGGAGACTGTACATACCAAACATCATCAAAATCCGCCAATCGAAGGTTGTACATAGCAAACATCGATCGAATTCCGCTAATCAGAACCTGTATATAAGCAAAAGAAGTGACACTCCACCAATCGGAGCCTGTATATAAGCAAAAGAAGTAACACTCCGCTAATCAGAGACCACATCGTAGTGACGTCACCAAAGCTCCACCGACCGGGGGCATGCAGGCACAACAACGCTTTCATACACTAACAATAACATGTTACATTACAAGCTTTACAAAGCCGGATACATGCTTTTACTTTACAACAACCCCGCCAAGCGGAGGTCTACATTACAATCTTCACACAGTCGGATACAAGCTTTTGCATTAAAACAGCCCCGCCAGTCGAGGGCCTTTACATTACAAGTTACTTTACCTAGATCACATTCACAACACAAAAAGCGGAGACATCAACAATCGTTTGGACATCTGCACTCTACTCTTTACATTCTAATTTCAATTCATTATTTTTGAACCGCAACAGGTACTTTTCACCTTTTTACATGTTGTGTAGGACAACACATAACAACGAGGAATTCCCTCTAAGCAGCAAACTAGGGCAAGTTAGTGCAATGTCAAGCATCACTAGCTACGTCAAGGATTCACTTTCAAAACCAAAGGGGTTTATTGCACAAAAAGACTGGGGCGCAAGCTCCCGAAGAGAGAAGCCCAACGAATGTTAGATGCAAAGCCCCGCACCTCATTAAGATCATATTGGCATACTCTCCCAAAAAAGAAAGAGCAGACCCCATTGAAGACGAGAGTGAGGTACAACAAGGCCATTTCTGTCCACCACCTTTCTCACGGACTCAACTCGACTCGATTTTCAAAAGTTCAGATAACTCTCTCAGGTCTCACTTCTTTATAACCCGACACTGGGCATTCTTTTAAAAAAAATCATCCCTCTATCATAAGTCTCCAGTAGAAATTGCTACGAAGCATTTCTCATTCATGTTCTTTAAAACTATATCTCGTCCCTCTATTCGTGCCAATCTCTTGAAACCTCACCACCAAAACATTTCAATATTACCATAATACGATACTGGGGGAAAATTTTTAACAAAATTTGCTATGTTCCTACACTCTCGAACTACATATGGCCTGATTTCTCATGAAACCTGAGATATGTAAGCAGCTCAAAAACCAGAGTTCGGCCATAACTCCATAAACATTTCTTGCCGAGTTTTGCTCAAGGTGTATTTTAGTGGGTCGCCTAAAAATTGGATCGTGTCAATGTTTCTTTGTCCACGTCTTCTTTACTCTCTTCCACAAACAAAGAAAGGGGCAAGCTGTTGACACCCAATTTTGGGTCTCCACATCTATTTAACTAAAGTTTTAATAATAATAATAAAATAATATATATATGTTACGAAATTGTAGGAATACGAAAAGACTTTAAATTATTATTTATTTTATTTGATAAATTTATTTCATAAATACTATTTTTATAAAAATTAAATATATGATATAAATATTACTACTTTCTCATTTTTTAGATTTCACATCAAATGAATATTTTTCTTAAGGGTTAGCTACATTTTTTCAATCAAGTATAATTTCTATTATTGCGATGAATATTTTTGACATTTTTTCAAATTAGGAAGGCTTAATTAATTATTGAGTTACTAGTTTATATTAATTTCATTTTTTTAATGACTAATTTTATCATTTAAGCTAGTTTTGTAAAATAATTATATTTTAATTTACCAAATGAGGGTTATTTACTAAAGAAGATGTTATAATTTAAATAGATTTTAATTTGAGAAATTTTGGCAAACCAAGTCCCCTTAAACCGGCCAATCTGTGTGTGCCACGTAGGCGAGCACATGGGTTGTGCTTCTTAACTTTTAATCTCAACCCTCTATTTTAATCCAACAACTTTAAATTCATCTTTTTATCAATATATATATTGTTACTATTAAACATATTTTTAAAACCTTTTTTTTTTATTAATCGTCCGATCAGACGGTCCAAAAATAACCAAGACTTTTTACCTTTCCCAAAATAGACTCCACCTCCCTATACTCTGTTTTTGCCCAGAATTCACGTTCTTCTTCCCCAGAGAGAACGTTTCTCCATCAGCTGCCCATGCCTCTTCCTCTTCCCCAAAAACCAACGCCCCAAGATCCTCTCCCATGGTCCCATCACCGACCCACGTGATCCCCCACCCACTTCATTAGAAACGGATCTGGACTGCCGAAAAAATGTCAATTCCGGCAGTTCCTTGCCCCATCAATCACTCAACCTTTTCAATCAATCCGAAAAAAGTAAGATATGTCAAGGTTTTCTTCTCCATCATAATGGTGTTTCTGTTTGCTCTGAGATGGGGGGTTTCCAAGAATTCAAAATTTGAATTCTTGGAGCCCAAATTAGCTATAAAGAGAACCATTTGCTTCTCATAAAAAAGATCATTCGAGGAACGATCGATCAACGTCCAAAAGTAATCCACAAAACGGAAAAAAAAATCCAAGAATCGATCAAAAGAAGCAAAAATCGCAGCCACTTCAAGTTTTGTTGGAGTTCGAAAGTTCTTTTCTCTTCTTTTCCTTCGGTTCTCTGTTTTGAATTTGAGTTTGGAGGAAGTTCTAAGTTGGAATCTTGATGTCAAAGATCTTGTTTGCTGCTAAACGAAAGGTAAAATGTTTTTCAATCTTCATCCCAATTTTTGTCAATGATTTATGTGCTTTAGTTATGGTCCGAATTTATGCTATGTTTTCTTCGGCATTTTTTTTGGTCGACTTCATATATGGTTAGTGTTGTTATCATGATGAAGAAATATGTATCTGACTTAGGATGATAACATTTCGATCCGCTCTTTCTTACTTGTTTAAGATGCACTTCCTTTGGTTATCTCATCTTAAATTTCTATTCAGTTCTTGCTCGAGTTTAGTTGTTTAATCTTTATCCAATTCCCTTCTCGCTCGAGTTTATTTGTCTAGTCTTGAAGGGTTTGATATAGGCAGGGCAACTCTTGATTTATACATTTAGTATTTATTACAACTGTTTTGAATCAAATTTTTCCTTTGGACTAGAGTTCCAACCTATAGTCTTGTTGAAGTTTTTTTTTTAATTCGTCGAAGTTAGTGAACTAGTCGACTGCTTGCCTTAACACAAGCATGAAAGTAGTTCTTCCATTTCCAGCATACTTTGAAACTATTTGTGGTCATGTTTGCTCTAGGGGTCTGTTTAAAGTGTATTTGAAAGCAGTTGTAGGACTGATTACTAACTCGTTTTCATACGATGAATTGCCGCCCTTCTCTAGAACATTTTGGTGATGTGTGATTGATGGATCTTGACATGAATGTTGCATTTTTTGGATCAGCAGATCATATTGCTTTCAATTTGATTTAGACTGATTATAAATGTTGAGTTGTTGCTTCTTTTAGATATCATTTCTTTCCGTAAATCGCTGAATTTTGTTGGGCTTAGTTTTCCAGTAGTTTGT